CTGAGAGCTCCCCCCCGACTAGAGCCCTGGAAGCATATCTCCTGAATATGCTGAGAAGAAAGTAGTCAGTTTTGGATGGACTATTTGGTTCAACTGTTTTCCTGTTAATTGAAATTCATTTGGAATACTGTGTGCAGTTCTGGTCACCACACCTTAAAACAGATATTGTAGCTTTGGAAAAAGTGCAGAAAAGGGCAACTCGAATGATCAAAGGGTTGGAACACTTTCCCTATGAGGAAAGGTTAAGGCGCTTAGGGCTCTTTAGCTTGGAGAAACGACGACTGAGGGGTGACATGATTGAGGTTTATAAGATTATGCATGGGATAGAGCAGGTAGAGAAAGAGGTACTTTTCTCCCTTTCTCACAATACAAGAACTCGTGGGCACTCCATGAAATTGCTGAGCAGTCAGGTTAGAACAGATAAAAGGAAGTACTTCTTCACCCAAAGAGTGATTAACACTTGGAATTCACTGCCACAGGAAGTGGTGGCAGCTACAAGCATGGACGGCTTCAAAAGGGAATTAGATAAGCATATGGAGCAGAGGTCCATCAGTGGCTATTAGCCACAAGGTATAGATAGGGACTCTGGGGCAAGTGATGCTCTGTCATCTTGGTGCTTGGGGGGGGGGGTCAACAGTGGGAGGGCGTCTAATGTCCTGGCCCCACTGGTGGACCTCCTGATGGCACTGGTATTTCTGGCCACTGTGTGATACAGAGTGTTGGACTGGATGGGCCTTTGGCCTGATCCAACATTGGCATCTCTTATGTTCTTATGCTCTTATGAAATAAAACATAGATCTTCCTCCTCATTTGACTTCATTTTTGACATGGAATCTAATATGTACAACAAGAACAAACCAAGTAACCAAACAGGTTGGGGGGAAAAGAAGAAACAAACCTTGTATAGGGAAATATTAATGTTAATTACCAAAAAGCTAAAATTATATCAAATCACAAAAACTGTAAATATTAAAAACTGTCTTAAAGTTTCTGCGATTTAATAGAATGTTACTTTCCCCATATATTTCTGTATACAAGGTTTTTCTTCTTCTTTTCTACCTTTTTGGTTACCTGGTGGTGGAAAGCGCCCTCACATCACAGCTGACTGATGGCGACCCCATACGGTTTTCATGGCAAGAGACATTCAGAAGTGGTGTGTCGTTGCCTGCCTCTGCATAGTCACCCTGGGCTTCCTTGGTGGTCTCCCATCCAAATCCTAACCAGGGCTGACCCTGCTTAGCTTCCGAGATCTGATGAGATCAGGTTAGTCTGAGCCATCCAGACTAGGGCAACATGACGCACTGAACAAATGTAAAAATTAAGAACATAAGAAGAGCCCTGCTGGATCAGATCAATGGTCCATCATGTTCAACACAGCTTAGCTTCTGAGATCTAATGAGATCAAGCTAGCCGGGCCAGCCATTTCAGGGCTAGCTGTTTACGTCCTTATAAAAGTATGACCAAAAGTCATGACCAAAACAAAAAACGGAATGTCTGCAAGTCCCATATTAGTTCTAGAGCAGAGACACACAAGAACCATGATTCAACATTTGTAACACATTTTAATACCAAGAATATATTTCTGATAGGCTCTCAAATGTTCCTTCCTCTAATTTTCTGGAGACCTCCCTAACTCTAAAGCAAAACGTGAATGAAGAGTATTTGCAAAAACTGAGATGAACTTTAAAACAGGATTACCAATAGCATCCGATGTACAGTCTCTTATCCTTTCGGATCTGAAGGTAAATCTGAGCCATCTTTTCCTTCACCTCGATGTAATACGGCTGGTTTGGTGTGATGTTTCTCAGCATCGTTAATGCTAAATCCACTTCCCCTTTGCTGAGAGCCAAATCTGCATTGGCAACAGTGATACGGATTTTCTCTGGTGTCCCACTAAATTCGTTGATGGTATCTTGCATAACCTTGGTAGCTTCATGCTGGAATGTAAAAAACAAAAATTAAGGTGCATGGTTCATTGGCGCCAGCCACAAGGATCTCGCTTCCTTTCTAAATCATTGACGCTTTGGGCTTTTCTGCATGTTCCCCCCCCCCATCAATTCTGGCCCCATGCTGCTTCGGTAGTTTTCTGCTGCCACCAGGAATTAAAAAATCCAAATCTCTTGGTAGTCTGACCTAGGGTCTGGGCACTTCAGAGGACTATGTGGCCCTGAGGAAGTACTGTACTGATTTCTGGGATACGTTTAAACAAAAATTGATTTATTTAATAAAGAACAAAATAGGTTTCTGGTTATTTTGAACAGCTGCTGAAGAAAAGAACTTGTAAATATAACTGGCAAAGCTTGGTGCTACAAACAGTCTCTCAAACTCCAAACTCCACTCTGACAGGCTTATACATTCAGTATAATCTCTATCTCATATATATAGATATAGCCATACAGGTTAGTCTCTTTGTTTATTCACACAGAATGGAATCAACTCTCTTAGTCACACAGACTAAACTGTTGGTCTTATTCACACAGAATTAGACACAAAATCCCATAGTCACACAGACTATGCTCACTCTTCAAACTTCACATACAGAATCCTTCATAACTCTCAGTCACACAGACTCTCTTCAAAACTTTTCCATACTCGTCTCTCTCATATCACAGAATCTCTTCATAGACACATAAACAGAATCCTCTGAGACAACCCTCTTCCCACACTCTCAGTCAGCAGCCAATCAAATCACACTTGTCACCCTCTATCACTCTTCTCATATTACTGCAGTCAAACTAAACATTTAAAGGAACACACACACCAAAACATGGAATCATTACATCCCTCTCCCCCCATTTTCTGGCTCTTCTGAGACCAGCTTTACCCCAATCTTTTTCTGGAAGCCTACTCAGTGTCAGCTTTTTCCTAGTGCGTAACGTTGCTATTGGTTTTCTTTGTCCTACCCACTCCCACCCACGTCCAGCCCACTTTTTAATGGTTGGAATGTTGTCATCATTAAACCATTCCCTCCCCCAAGACAGTGATTTCCACTTTTTCCTTTAAAAGGCCCTAAAATATTTATAACATTGTAGTGTTGTAACGATGATTTAAGCAAGTTCTCTGAACTCCCAGCTTTCATTGGGGGGGGGGGGGGTTCTCAGTGTTCTTCCCTCACAGAGGATTTCCCTCACAGAGATATAAGGAAAAAGGCATATCTCTGCAAAGGAAAGAGCTAGAGAATTACTTTTAAAAGAATGAAATTCAGAGAACCTGTTTAAACTGTCATTACAACGCTACAGCGTTCTGTCGATATTTTAGGGCCTTTTTTTAAAAAAGGTCTTTATTTAACAATAAAGATTATATACAGATAGAGATCACTTTCAGAACGTCTTACCAATTCCCCGTTGAGACGAAGAGCTTCGGCCAGTTCCAGGTATATGGAAACTTGTTCGCTTGTGGTTATAAGGGGTCCTGTGCCCCTTTTAGCTTCTCCTTTCATTTGGGGCAAGCTGAGAAGTATTTTCAAGACTTTAATGGCTTCGAGATAGTCCCCAGCTTTGTTCAATGCTTGGGCCCTGATAAAGTGGTACATTGGATGGTCACGAAGCTGGCAAAGATATTGAAGATGATGCGATTAACGCAAACCAATGATAGGCTCCTTCTGAAAATAGTGGGTTTAGAAATGTTTCAAGGAGGTTTATTTAATGTATTTGATTTATATACCACCCTCCCCGAACGGGCTCAGGGAGGTGTACAACAATTAAAATAATACAATTAAAACAGTGTTAAAACAACAATTTGCACAGAATAGTATCCTGAGAGACCATGTAAAAACAGAGAGATCAGATGTGAAATCAAATCCGGTGTCTAATCAGATGTCTAATCAGATCCAGGCCACTGATGGGTGATTGGCCAGAAGCTGGGGGTGGGGGGGAGTCCGCTGCCTCAACCAAATGCCCAGTGGAAGAGCTCCGTCTTACAGGCCCTGCAAAACTCTAATAAGTCCTGCAGGGCCCTAATCTCGTAGGGGAGCTCATTCCACCAGGTGGGGCTAATGGGACGTCTCTGGGGCTGGGGACCACCAAGAGATGTAGATTGGTGGACTGCAGTGCCCTCTGAGGCTTATATGGGGAGAGGCGGTCTCGTAGGTATGCTGGCCCCTGGCCGTATAGAGCTTTAAAGGTCAGCACCAGCACCTTGAAACGGATCCGGAATTCAACAGGCAGCCAGTGCAACTCACGCAGCACTGGATGGATACGAGCCCGCACAGGCGTTGCTGTCAACACCCATGCTGCTACATCCTGCACTATAGTTCAGTCCTTGGGTGTGTGCACAAAGGCCCAATTCTTAGTAAGGGCTTTTCTGCTTTCTCATTTTCCTCACTTGTAAGTTCCTCTTTCTTTGGGGGGGGGGGCTGTTCCACTCATGTTTTGCTCCCTCTAGTGGTTGATTCAATATTATACCAGTTTATGTCCAGCATAAAAACCTGCAGTTTAAACCTGCAGGAAGATGTCCCAGACATAAAGCAATGCAATATTAAATTGACCACTAGAGGGAGCAAAACACATGCAGAACAGAAAAACAAGACCCTCAGAAGAAAGAGGAACTTACAAGCAAGGAAAATGAGAATGTAGAAAAGCCCTAGGAGGGATGAGCTCTCTCAAGGTAACTTTTCCTTGTCCTGCTCTTTGCACACGTACAGGTCATATCGCAAGGAGGAACAAGGGAATTCCTTGTGAGTAAGCCAGTCAGCTGTTTGCTCTCATGTAGATCTGCCAGTGAGCAGAAGGAAGAGGCCAGTGGCTTTTTAATGTGGCTTTTAAAATGTTTTACTCAGGGCTTGACCTCACCTGGAAATTATGGCTGACCCCCGTTTCCAGCGAATGGGCACATTCTTTAATGTTTCTCTGAGAGAGGTGGATCTGGGCCATAAGGAGATTGGCATCTGTTGAGGCAGGATCCAACTCCAAGCAGCGCTGCACGGTGCCCTGCGCAGTTTCAACTTCTCCTGCAAAATAGCCTAGCATGTTATCTTGCTCTTGATACTCTATTTCCTTACAGGAATCCTAAGCAGAGTTTGAAAAGTCTGGTCTTCCCTTCATAAGCTAATGGGATGGCATTCTGTTCCCTAGCTACGGTATGTCCTGGTTTTGTTATGGTGAAGACAGATGTAATACTTATAGAGCTGTGGAAGCTTCCTCGCCGTACTTGTTTTTACTATATCTTTTCCTCTCTCCGTGTCAGCTCTGAAAAATGGTTCTGTGCATTGGCATCATGCGTCAATTTTAACCAGGGGAAATAATCTCTACTGCAAATCAATGGGACTGATGGCATGTTCAAACATCACTGGCCAGTTTTTATCTCCCGTTCTGAATGAAAAGGAGTCAGAACGCAAGCTCTTTTTAAAAACAGGAAGTCCAGTGATTTTTGACATCAGGAATCACAAGACTGAGAAACCTGTAGCATACTTCAGCATCCCAGGGCACTCAATGAATGACCTCAAAGTAGCTGTTTTATTACAAAGGAACTTCAGGAACATAATGGAAAGGGAAATTGCTTAATTACAAGTTACTACAATACTTGGAACAGAAACCTCCCCAGGACTCAACAGCGATATTGGTTTCTTATCTTATTACATATGTTAACATTCAGTCCTCACATATATATGCTCAACTAGAAGGACTACACATCCTCTGTATTTCAGTGTATTTCTTTTTCAGAATAGTATATTAGAATACTGAATGTAATAAAAGGAATACTGGAATATGTTGTCGAAGGCTTTCACGGACGGAGTTCATTAGTTGCTGTAGATTTTCCGGGTTGCCTGGCCATGGTCTTGGCATAGTAGAACCTGACGTTTCGCCAGTAACTGTGACTGACATCCTCAGAGGTATAACGCAGAAAGATGGAGCACTCTCTGTGTCCATATTGGAATGTTTTGCTGACATAACACTGCACAACACCTTGTTGACACAACACATTCGTTGTGGTAGAAGCTCTCGTGAGCCAGATTTAGTTAGCTGCTCTCCTGGCTCCTGAAAGCTTACATCAAAACAAAACTGCCTCTGTTTGTTGTTGATCTGAAATACAGATGACGGAACTCCTGGACTGTAGGGTTATACAACTGAACACGTGAAGCTGCCTTATACTTGGTCCATTAAGGTCAGTATTGCCTACTCAGACTGGCAGCGGCTCTCCAGGGTCTCAGGCAGCGGTCTTTCACATCACTGACTGACTGCTCCTTTTTAACTGGCAATGGTGGGGATTGAACCTGGGACCTTCTGCACACAAAGCAGATGCTCCAGCACTGAGCCACAGCCCCTCCTCTGCCAAGCAGAGTGTTACCGAAGCGGAACCTTTAAAGGACAACAGAACAAGAGAGCAACAGCAAATTCTAAGGGTTGAGTAGAGGACATTTTATATCACTGTTCCCCCTGCAAGTGCCTATCAGTAGTACTTCTGGTGGGAAAAGCCAGGAGCTGCAGATTCTCTAGTTGTCTGGGCAGGGCTGGCTTTGGCGGGTGGTATCTTTAGGAAGTTGCATAGGGATCACCAACCCCACAGGGAGGCCCTGTTCCTGGGAAAGCCTCCCACCAGCCCCATCTGCCTGTCGCTTGAACTGGTGGCCCTTATCTGTCACACATGCACATGAAACTGCCTTACGTTGAATCAGACCATTGGTCGATTGGAGTCAGTACTCAGACTGGCAGTGCCTCCCCATGGTCTCAGGTGGAGGTCTTCCACATCATCTAGTGCCTAGTCCTTTTAACTGGAGGTGCCTGAGCCTGGAACCTTCTGCATGCCAAGCAGATGCTCTGTCACTGAGCCACGGCCCCTGCTTTGACTGGTACAAGCTGTTTAGGGACTCAGGTGGAGGTCTTCCACATCACCCAGTGCCTGGTCCTTGTAACTGGAGATGCTGGGTATCTTCTGCATGCCAAGCAGATGTTCTGCCACTGAGCCACAGCCCCTGCTGTGACTGGTACAAGCTGTTTAGGGACTCAGGTGGAGGTCTTCCACATCACCTAGTGCCTGGTCCTTGTAACTGGAGATGCTGGGGATTGGGCCTGGTACCTTCTGCATGCCAAGCAGATGCTCTGCCACTGAGCCACGGCCCCTGCTCTGACTGATACAAGCTGTTTAGGGACTCAGGTGGAGGTCCTCCACGTCACCCAGTGCCTGGTCCTTGTAACTGGAGATGCTGGGGATTTTCTGCATGTCAAGCAGATGCTCCATAAGCCATGGTCCCTCTCCCTTCCGCTTTCCTTTAAACTGGACCACAGCCCCAAAACACAACCAGCAACATCCCTGCTCATCTTGGAAAGGGGGCAGGGCTGATGGCATTCCCAAGCTTCCACAAGGCGTCCTGTCCTTGTGAGAGCCTGGGGGATGCTACCAGGCATGAGCTGTTTGCTGCATCTAACTCATAAGAGGCCGGGGGAGCAGGCCGAGTTGAAGGCGGACAGTCCTGCTCCAGGGGAAGTGAGGGAGAGGACCGTGGACAGGTGGAGGAAACAGGTGGTTGCAACTCCTTTCTGAGGCCTTGTGGGTCAGTCAGCAGAGGGGTGGAGCCTAGATATCACATCACCTCACATCCCCACTCCTCCACTTGCACCTGGCTGGATGACCTTGGGCAAGCCGTAGTTCTGATAAGAGCTGTCCTTGAAAAAGAGCCGTTTCTGGTAGAGCTCTCTCAGCCCCACCCACCTCACAGGGTGTCTGTTGTGGGGAGGGGAAGGGAAAGGAGTTTGTAAGCCGCTCTGAGACTCCTTCGGGTAGTGAAGGGCGGGGTATCAATTCAATCTCTTCTTCTTCTAGATATTCTCCAGCCCCACAGAATATTAATGAATTAAGACCCACAAGCATTATTATTGCTGTTTTCCCTTCAAGCGGGTGATCAGCTCACCTGATAAATATTTAACCTGCGCCATGAGATAAAGTGGCTCGATCATCCCAGGAGCTGCTTTGACAACTGGATTCAAAACTATGGTTGATTGTTTAAGAACGGATGATAAGACCTGGCCGGGTAATCTAGGCTACGGAAAGGAACAAAAGGTACACAGATTACAGAGCTTTCAGAATACAAAATACACGCGTCGCGGATTTAGTTTTTAAAAATGGGAGCTGTCGACAGTGGTTGGTGATTTATCGGAAAGCACTTCTGCCATCCGCAAAGTGGGAAAGGCCTGCTCAGGTTAATAGCTGGAGATTCTCTACGAGGAATAAAAATAGCCTCAGTTCAGTGTAACTGGGAGGGAAGTCTGGAATACGTTCAAGAAATACAAGAACTATTTTCATTGGGAAACGAAGAAATCAAAGCAAATGAGCATCAATGAGGATGACATTAAGTCAAAGACAGAAGGCGAGATATATGGTTTATCAGTTAATGGCCAATGGATAATTTATACACTTGTGGAATGCTTAGTCATTAAAACCGACAGATTTCCGTTCCAATTAAAATAATCGCATGGAACTAATGTTATCTGATAAGATAGGTCTAGGTTACACTGTCTAAGACTATATGAGTGAAAGTTATCTTCCAAATCTTTTAATTCTATCACAGTGCTGTAAAGAACCTGGTTAAGAGTGCGATCTCCAATTAAGGAGGAAAGATGGATTATGCTAAAGGTGACTGTAATAAAAGGTAATATTTTGAAAACGTATAAAGAGGAGAACTTTGGGATCAAACACAGTTTCAGTTTCTCCTGAGACCCAAGTTCATTTTTCCTTCTCTGCGCAGTTCTGAGCTCAGCAAAAACTTCTATTTCATAAATTGTTTATGTATGACTAAGTAATGAAGCTGTATATTCTTTCAAATTTACTTAAGAGGAAGGTGTTGCAAATAATTGTTACTATTGGGATAATGCAGGTGTTTATCAAAGGAAGCTTTGACTCCTGAAAACCCATACAAGGGGTGTGCACTCCGTATATACCAAGCCGAATAAATACCCGAAAAATACCTTATTGGTATCCATGTGGAGTTTTGCTCCACCTTGACTTCCTTGCTACACCACTATTTTCAGGAGAATTTCCATGACATTGTCTTCTATTTCTGTTTCTCTGTTTTCCCCATGTTTTGCTGTGATTATTTCCAAACCCAGTTTGAGATGGTCATAGTAAAAGCCCCTTTGGACATTGTGTGGAAGGTGCACATTTTTCAGGTCCCTCTCACATCAATGGCATGTTCCTTACCTCACTCCCTACAGTAGCCATTTCCCCTTCCAGTGCAGGGCTTTTTTTGGAGATAGGTGATAGCTAAATCACTATAGTGTTATAACACTACAATGATCTACTGCAACAATGAACTAGTTCCCAGTTTTCATTCTTAAAAAAAGTAAGTCTCTAGCCTTTTTAGTTGCAGAGTTATAAGGGGAGAGGTACTGGCTGCACATTTCCCCTTGTAACTCTGTAACTGAAAGGGCTAGTGACTCATTTTTTTAAAGAAATGAAAGTGATGGAGCTAACATACTGTTGCAATATTATAGTACTATAGCTATTGATATTTTTAGAAAGCCTTTAAAAAGCCCTCTGGTGGTTGGGGGAGGAATGACAGCTGAAAGAAGGAAAATGCAGCGAAAACGTCTGTGTAGACACTCCATTGCTACATCAAAGGCCTAGGCACTCACAGCAACAGTGAGAGCTATGCACGGGCTATTCTGCATTCTCATTTTCTTCGCTTGTTTGTACCTATTGCTTTTTTTCTTTTCCGCATGTCCATTGCTACATCAAAGGCCTAGGCACTCTCAGCAACAGTGAGAGCTATGCACAGGGCTATTCTGCATTCTCAGTTTCTTCGCTTGTGTGTACCTATTGCTTTTTTCCTTTTCCGCAAGTGTTTTGCTCCCTCTAGTGGTCAATTCAACATTATATCGTTGTATGTCCAGCATCTCTCCCTGCAGATTTAAACGGCAGGCTTTTATGGCAGACGTACAGTGATGTACTACTGAACTGACCATTAGAGGAAGCAAAACATGTGTCGAAAAGGGGAAACTGGGAAGCAATAGGGACCCACAAGCGAGGAAAATGAGAATGCAGAACAGCCCAAAGAACCTCTGTGTGGATGAAGCCCAGGATTTTCCTTCTGCAAGCAGAGTGACCCTGTGAATAGTTGCTGCCCTCCAGTGTCCTCCTGTTCTTGGGAGGAAAGGAAAGTGAAACGGCATTTCCCACCTGCTTGGGACAAAAGGCCAAATACTCTTTCACAATTTCAACCACAAACATGGGACTGAGCTTCTCGTAGTACTCAATGCTCAGAGGGAGACCCTGCAGAGCAGAGAAGTGGAGGTCCGCAGCTTCGTTGAGCAGGGCGTTGGCAGCCTGCTCGTCCTTGTCTTGCCTCGAAGCAATCACAGCCTGGAGGTAAGCCAGGACCTGGAAGACAGAGAATGCTGCACTTGACACAACGGGAGACGTCTTTCAGGATCAGCTCAAGCCTAGACCCCGTATGAGAGGCAGCAGCATGACATAAATACATTTAAATGAATAAGTGGTTCGGCAAACAAAATATTTTCCGTTTGAAGTAAAATTATCGCAGCCCTCCGCATACAGAAACTTAATGCTGGAATTGACCTCAAGGGTCTTCTAGTCCAACCCCCTGCACAATGCAGGGAATTCACAACTATCTTCCCCACCTGCCAGTGACTCCTGCTCGATGCCCAGAGAAAGGCAAAAAAACCCTCCAGGATTCCTGGGCCAATCTGGCCTGGAGGAAAATTCCTTCCCGATCACAAAGTGTACAAATAGGCTAGGATTCAGAGGGCGGAAATGCAGAATTCCATACACGGTTGATGTTGCGGCAGATTAAAGGAAACTGAGTGGCAAAGCCATGACTCCTTCCCTTGGGGCGCTGCACAAGCCACGCCTGCATTTCCTGAGAAGGAATTGCCTGCAAAAGAAAACGAGCTCTTGAAGTTTCCGAATCATCGTTCTGTGCGCACGCAATGCTCGTCAATGTGATGCACACAGATCACATCTCGGTCCAATCTGCATTGGCCTTTCCTGCTGCTGTGCAACTGACCCCACAGCATCTAGCAAATTTCTGCCGGCATCTCATTCCACATCTGCTCTCGTATTGTTTCGCCAGGCTGTCTGCATCACTTGACTGCCATTTAGTGGTGACTTTGAAATCACTACGGCACCACGGCACCCAGTGCCGGATTTACGCATAAGCTAAATAAGCTACAGCTTAGGGCCTCGCAATCTGCTGGGGCCTCGAATAAAAACACAATATAAAAAATGATTTCAAATATTAAAAAGGCGTATATATTTTAAATTTTTCTGAGACCAGCTGATGTAATTTAAAACAGTAGGGGGCCTCTGGGTTTTGTATAGCTTAGGGCCTCAGCAAGTCTAAATCCGGCCCTTGGACACAGATTTGGGGGAGGCCTTCCCCTGGCTCCCAGGTTGCCAATCCCTAGCAGACATAGAAAATCAAAAGAAAACTCACTGCAGATTTTCCAGTGGATTGCTGAACTTCCTTTAGGAACTCCAGCTGTTGCTCTGCTTCTTCTAGCTTCCCTTCCAGCACCAGGCACCAAATAACACCTGTGAAGCAACAGATAATGTTCTCGTAAAGACGGCAAAAGCGTATTCTGCATAACAACCACATATTTTGAAAGTAAAGAGCTGAACAGTTATCACAGATTAAAGCAGCACACAGAGTAGACAGTTGTTCCGCTGGCTGCCCATCAAGTACAAGGCTCTCTCTGAAGTATTGGCTGTCACGTACAAAGCCCTTCGTAGCCTTGGGTCCTCATGTCTGCGAGACAGTCTGTCTTGATCCTGGGCCTATAGTGGTGTGGCCTACAGGCTCTAGAGGGAGGCCTAGTGGCTCCAGGGAAGCCTGTATTAGAGTGACTTCAGGGCCTACATTTCCCAGTAGGGTTGCCAGGTCCCCCGGGCGGACGGGGGTTTGCCTGCCCAATGGGCCCCTTACCCGCCGGCCCAGATCCGGCCACCAGGTGGAACCCCACCCCCAAAGTGCTGGCATCGCGGCGACATGCCCGGCGTGATGATGTCACCTGGAGGTGACTTCATCATGCCAGGGCACATTGCGGCGGCGGGGGGGGAACACTCTAGCATTTAACGGGAAACTCTATGGTTTTCCTTCAAATGACCATGGCTCCCCACAACGTGCCCGATGCGATGACGTCACTTCCGTGTGATTTCATCGCGGCGTGTGCACAAAGCGCGCGTGCCAAAGAACTCCCAGAGAGGAGCCAGGACCCCCCTGCCGCAAGCCAGATAAGACCTGGCAACACTATTTCCTAGGTACCCTATGGACCCTGTGATTGGCTAACTGGGGATCTGGATGGAAAACATACCAGTAGAGGAGTAGAGGGCGGTGCCTGGGAAGCAGGAATAAAAGGCCTTGCCCTAAGCAGGAGGGGGTTCACTCCCAGGGAGCAGAGCTGGTGAGGCTGCTGCGGGTAGAGGGATCCCTCATCCAAAAGGGGCGTCAACTTGAGGCAAATATCTAGAGAAGGCCAGGACAGTATAGTCAGATGTGTTTGGGTTTCTTGTTTTGCTGGTTTACCGGCCTTTACTGTGCTCATTTTCCCTATAGGTTATTGTAGTTGTTGTTAAATCTCTTTAATAAAAATAGTTTGTTACTCTTGTCTGGGTCCTTACGCCTTATTCGGTCATGTATAAGGGGAAACCTACTGGAAAAGGAGTCTATAAGGGGGTCGGGTGGGTACTCTGGGCCCTCCCGAGGAGACCCATACCACAGTGGTGGCAGCCATCAGAGAACCTTTCTGGCCGCTGCCCGCGACACCATCTCTCCCTCCGCCCGCAACCCCACAACAGCTTCATTCATCTAAGTGAGGCCTTCTGCAAGTGCCAACCTGCAAATGGGTAAAATCAAAAACTGCCCATCCACATGGCCTTCTCCATTGTGGCCCCCTGCCTTGTGAAACGGCCTGCCTGAGGAGGTCAGGAGGGCTCCTGCTCTCCTGGCTCTCCACAAACTATGCAAAACTGAACTGTAAATGACCCCTCCCCTCTCCCTTTAGAACACGCATGGCGTAATGTCTGATAGGAGGTTTCTGATAGGAGGGCTTCTGGTGGGAGGGCTTCTAATGTCCTGGCCCCACTGGTGGACCTCCTGATGGCACTGGTATTTCTGGCCACTGTGTGATACAGAGTGTTGGACTGGATGGGCCTTTGGCCTGATCCAACATTGGCATCTCTTATGTTCTTATGTTTCTCCATGCAGGGTCACATATATAAGGAAGGAGGTGCAGTCCCCCCCCCCTGTTTAAAACCAAGGAAAGAATCAAACGAATCAGGCCGCTGAGGCCCAACCAGCCTCAAGGTTCCTTTCACTTTACTGTCCAAAACATTTCTCTTTACCAAGGCTTTTAACTGAACGGTTCCATCTTCTTAAGTTGTTTTTATGCTCTCCTGGCCTGAGAGCTGTTTTATGGATAACAGTTTAGGCTGCCGGATGTTGTTTTTATGCTATAGTTATGCCTCCTGGCAGACTCTTGGCTTGTTTTTATGGCTTCTTTTACTATTTATCATTTTGATGGCTGTTGCTTTTATGGATCCATAGTAAGGTTTTACTTCCTCGGGCCCCTCGAGCAGGTCTTCAAAGATGAAGCACGTTCATTTTCTACACAAACAATCAATAAGACTGAGTTGTGCGGATCGCTGTATGCAGGGAACTCTCCCTTCAGATCAAAATTTGAGTCCAGCGGCACCTTTAAGACCAACAAAATTTGATTCAAGGTATAAGCTTCGCCATCACCCACCTGTCAGTGATTCTGCCGTGCTTTCATCTAGCTCTGCAGCTTGTCTGTACCACACGGAAGCCTCCTTCCATTTCCCTTGCAGGCTCAGCTGATATCCAAGTTCATTCACAACTGTGGCATCCATGTGTATTAGTCTGCTACAGGAGTTTTTAACAAACGTGTATGCCTCCTGCAGGATTTCTTGATTCTTCCCGGACTAAATGAAACACAGCGGAAAGAAACGTACTGATAAGGTAGATGTTTGAGAAACGGTTGAGCCGCAGAGCAGAGAATGCATCTAAAACATGTTAGGAAAACAAAAAAAACAAACTAAAAATAACACGCTCCCTTTAAGCGGTGGAGTCTTGAGAGCAAAAATTCTACTTTGTGAGCTCCTGGCATTAAAGTGGTGAGCGAGCGATTTGGCTACTGCATAAGTTAGTTTGCTCTGGAGCCATCCTTCCTGAGCTAAGACAAAAATGTGTGAGCTGGAGGCTAAAAAACTGTAAGCTAGCTCACACTAACTCACCTTAGAGGGAACACTGGATGTGATTAGAATCATAGAATTGGAAAGGACCTCCAGGGTAATCTAGTCCACCCCACACACAATGCAGGAAATTCACAAATACCTTCCCCTCTCCACACCCAGTTCCAGGCCTAGAAGATGACAAAAAACCCTCCAGGATCCCTGGCCAAACTGTCCCGAAGCAAAATTGTTTCCTGAGCCCAGAGTGGTGATCAGCATTTCCCTTGGTGTCTGAGAAAGGGCCACGAGAACTAAGCACTGAGGCAACCCTTCCTGCCCTCCCTCTCATGATCTGCCCAAGTTCACAGAACCAGCATTGCTATCAGATGGCCATCTAGCCTCTGTTTGAAAACCTCCAAAGAAGGCAAGCCCACCACCTCCCGAGGAAGCCTCTTCCACTGAGGGACTGCTAGACAGGAAGAGTCAGGATACAGGATGATCTTGACAAGCTGGAAAACTGGACTAAAACAAATAAATGCATTTCAGTGGAGATGAAAGTAAAGCTCTGCATTTAGGTAGAAAAAATCAAATGCATAATTATAGGTTGGGGAAGACTTGTCTTGGCAGTAGTATGTGCGAAGAGGATCTAGGGGGTCTTAGTAGACCATTCACTGAACATGAGTCAGCAGTGTGATGTGGTAGCTAAAAAGGCAAATGCGATTTTGGGCTGTATCAACAGACGTATAGTGTCCAGATCATGTGAAGTGATGGTATCGCTTTACTCTGCTCTGGTTAGACCTCACCTAGAGTATTGTGTTCTGTTTTGGGCACCACAATTTAAGAAGGATATAAACAAGCTGGAACGTGTCCAGAGGAGGGCAGCAAAGATGGTGGGGGGTCTGAAGACCATCATGTCCTATGAGGAAAGGTTGAAGGAGCTGGGTATGTTTCGCCTGGAGAGGAGATGACTGAGAGGTGATATGATCACCATGATTAGCTTGAAAAGGAGACATTTCCCCACACTGACAGAAACTAACAGATTCCTTTTGGTTGTGGGAAGCATAACATTTCAAATGGAGTAGGCCTCAAGGATTTAAAGAAGATTGCAGCGAGTGGCAATTGAGAGAGATGAGCCGTATTAACCACTAAGATCAACTTGCCCTTACCAGCCGACTGACCACAAGGATTTTTTTAAGATGAAGTTCTGATCTCTGCGGCTCTTTCATCTCCAGAGCACTGATGAATTCTTTAAGTTGTTGCAATGCCTGTATTGAAAGCATACATGCAGGGGTCATTTCGTGGAAAAAGGGGTGCCGGAGCTTATTAGCATAACTCATTAGCATAACTCATTTGCATATGCCACACACCCCTGACATCACCGGAAGTGTGTCAGAAGGCAACACCCACCGCTCAGGCTCCGCTGGACTGTTTTGGATTGCTAGCTATTGGGGGGGGGGGGACGTGCCGATCTGTCCTCGCAGAGGAGGGAGAGCTTGTACCTGAATAAAACTTGGTCTTAAAGGTACTACTGGATGGTTTTGGACTGGGAGGTGGTGGGGGGGGGGGAGATCTGCAACTTACCTGGCTGCTTCTTGCTCTGACTGAGGGCTGCTGGGAGCAGGGGATGGGGCTTGTTGCATGTGCCCACCCCCTGGGCTCTTTACTACCGGAGCTCCGCTCCTGTGCGCTCCTGCAGGAAATGACCCCTGCATACATGTGATTTCAGACTCAGAAAGTCTGCCTTTCTTAGATCTGATTCCTTTGAATGGCATCACACAACATGACTGAGTTAGCAGCGGAAAGCGCTGTTAAGTTGCAGGTGACTTATGGCAACCCTGTAGGGTTTTCCAGGCAAGAGAAATGCAGAGGTGTTTGGTCCCATCCTGCCTCTGTGTAGTGACCCTAGACTTCCTTGGTGGTCTCCCATCCAAATACTAACCAGGGCCGTTTCGCCTGGCCCATCCAGCTCCAGGCTTGATTCAGTTAGTTATCTCAAATCGACCCAGGGAAGGTGGTGGTGGGGACTGATAAACTTTGCTTCTAATCTTCTGTAACTCTGCATTCTTCAGTGTAGGTCAATTGCGGGGGGCTGAAATTGGTTCCAGTTTGGTGTCGTGGTTAAGTGCGCAGACTCTAATCTGGGAGACCCGGGTTGGATTCCCCACTCCTCCACTTGCACCTGGCTGGATGACCTTGGGCAAGCCATAGCTCTGATAAGAGCTGTTCTTGAAAAAGAGCAATTTCTGTCAAGAGCTCTCTCAGCCCCACCTACCTCACAGGGTGTCTGTTGTGGGGAGAGGAAGGGATAGAGTTTGTAAGCCTCTCTGAGACTCCTTTGGGTAGTGAAGGGCGGGGTAGAAATCCAATATCATCTTCTTCTGTCAGAGCTGTTCTCTCAAGAGCAGTTCCTGTCAGAACTCTCTCAGCCCCGCCTACCTCACAGGGTGTCTGTTGTGGGGAGGGGAAGGGAAAGGAGTTTGTAAGCCGCTCTGAGACACCTTTGGATAGTGAAGGGCGGGGTATAAATCCAATCTCTTATCTTCTTCGCAGTTCCTTATTCGTGAAAACATCCAGAAACATTGAGGAGTGTTGGAAAGCTCTGAACCGCAAAATAAGGTTTGGACCCCCACGTATCATATACCGCCAGGTTCACACGATTATCCCCTTCAAGATATATCCCGTTTCCTGGTCCAAAGAGCGGGTCTTGTGCCAGCTGCTCCAAAGTGCGGCGCCCCTAGGACAATCACACAGGTAGACACTGGGGACAGGCTGCACGTCCCAAGAATCTTTGAACCACCCCAAATGACAAATAAGGAACCAACTTCAGCCTCCTGTCAATTGCCCCTGTGGTGTTTGATGCCTGCATGGCTTGTAAAGGTAAAGGTAAAGGTTCCCTTGCTCGAAAGCCAGTCGGATCCGACTCTAGAGTCACGGTGCTCATCTCCGTTTCAAAGCCGAAGAGCCAGCGCTGTCCAAAGACGTTTCCGTGGTCATGTGGCCAGCATGACTAAACACCAAGGTGCACGGAACGCTGTTCCCTTCCCACCGAAGTGGTACCTATTTATCTACTTGCAATTTCTTGCTTTCGAACTGCTAGGTTGGCAGGAGCTGGAACTAGAGACGGGAGCTCACTCCGTCATGCGGCACACTCGGGTCTCGAACCGCTGAACTACCAACCTTCCACAGCCTGCAGTTCAGCGTCTTAACCACTTGAGCCACCGCAGCTTGTAATTTGTGGTAAATTGCAGTGTATGCCCTGAGGGTATGGGGATGGGCTTTATCTCCAAACCCACTGAAGGAAGGGGGAAACTAAGTTGTACTTTCTTCATTTTCTTATCTTTTTCTCCCTGAGGTCTTTGCTATTCTATGCCTTATTGACAAAGGGAAATGCTTAACAAAGGACTGTCCATCCGTCCCCCTCCCCCCACAGCTACTGGCCTCTTTAATGCCACCCCCAGTTACTTACTTCGGAGTCTGTCTGATACCTGCCCCACCAAGTACATTTGTTAGCTGAGTAAGGCTCTTAAAGATTTCCTTCCTTACCATGAGGGTTCTCAACTTTTCTATTAACATTTATTGTATTTTTTTATTTTATTTTTATTAGACTTATATCCCGCCCTCTACACATTGTAGGCTCAGGGTGGGTACCAACATGCAGGCCTGCAATTAATGCAGATTTACAATAAAATCATCAGCATTAAATCAATAAAATCACCAGCATTTAGAACAACAACGCATCTCAACAGATGATAGTGTGGTCCCAATCTGGCTTCTAGGATCTGCGGTCACTGGAGGGGAGGCCAAATCAAGAAGAAGAAGAAGAGACTGGATTTCTACCCCGCCCTTCACTACCCAAAGGTGTCTCAGAGCGGCTTACAAACTCCTTTCCCTTCCCCTCCTCACAACAGACACCCTGTGAGGTAGGTGGGGCTGAGAGAGCTCTGACACAAACTGCTCTTTTTCAAGGACAGCTCTGACAGAACTATGGCTTGCCCAAGATCATCCAGCAGCAGCGAGTGGAGGAGTGGGGAATCAAACCCGGTTCTCCCAGATTAGAGTCTGCGCACCAAACTGGCTCAAAGTGGATGCCCGCTGCTTCAACTAAGGGCCCGGCGGAAGAGCTCTGTCTTGCAGGCCCTGCGGAACTGTAATAGGTCCCGCAGGGCCCTGACATACATGATGACTGGTTCTGAACCAGACTGCTACTTCTTCATGACCCGCTGTGGGCTGGTTTCGACCAATTTTTCTACTTAATCTCATCTAATCCCCACTCCCCACTGCCACCTGTGATTCACGTGGCTTTTGTCCATAATTCCTGGCATAGTCTCTTTGGTTATCAAAAGGGGACATTCCACTCTCTTTCTCTAGCAGAAAAACTGGTCAGATCCAGCCTGGAATATTCTGATGCATAGAGCAAGGATTTCTAGAGAGGCCTGGAAGAATGTTAGCAAATGTATTAATACTCACCAACTCCATATTTCCAGTCATAGCAAGGTGATATACCACAGTGTACTGGAGAGCATCAATATCATTGGCATCTTTGGCTAGGATCCTTTAAAATATTGTACAAAAATATGACAGAGCAAAATCAATCGCAGACCAAGACGATACCCTCTGCTATAGTAGCCTAGGCCTTTGGAGACTGCGTTGATGTAGTAGTTACGACGTCAGCCTAGGACCAGGGCTACATGGGTTAGTACCCCGAACCTCATTGGGTGACCTTGGGCCAATCGCTGTGTCTCTGCTTGACCTACCCCATGTATGGCACCCTGAGCTCATTGAAGGGAAGGTAATATTAAAATGTAATAATCACTGTATCTAAAAATAGAAAAGTGGCTGAACCCGCTGTAGATGACTTTGTAAATGAACTCAAACAGAAACAAACAAACAAACCCTCTCAAAGTAGCTGGAGGAGGACTAAATATCTCCAGAATGGATGGAATGTTGAGAGCAACTTGCGCTGGGAATCAGCATGGCCAAGCATCTGAGAACATAGAATTGTTTGAGGATGGGGAATCCCCTGCCCCCAGCCCCTCTTTTCCACTGACACTCTGAGCAGCCGCAGAGGAGGGGGAAAAGAGGCAGTTGATGTGACATCATGTCTGGGGAAAACTCAGATGTGACACCAGCAATGTCCCGTCTAAGCTGTGGAGTCTCGTGAGCAAAAATTCTACTTTGTGAGCTACTGGCATGAAAGTTGTGAGCGAGCGATTTGACTACTACACAAATTAGTTTGCTCTGGAGCCATCCTTCCTGAGCGGAGACAAAAATGTGTGAGCCAGAGGCTAAAAAACTGTGCGCTAGCTCACACTAACTCAGCTTAGAGGGAACACTGCACCACGGCTGTCTTAGGAGTCTCTGGAAACTCTATGGTAAAACCCAGACGTGGCATCAGTTTCCCCCAGGAAGTGATGTCAATCCCCCCTAGGAATCAAAGGAAACTATGTGCTTTTACCAGAGAGTTTCTGGCCATTCCTAGATCCAGGTGGTCAATCACGTTAGTCTAAAGCAGTAGAACAAATTCAGAGTCCGGTGGCACCTTTAAGACCAACAAAGGTTTATTGGAGGTATGAGCTTTCGTGTGCACGCACACTTTTTCAGATACCTAGAGAGGTGTACCATCACTTCCAGGTTTCCCCCAGAAATGATGTTACACCATCATTGACAACTGCCCCTTATGTGCCCAAACAATCTCCTGCTGGTTGCCGGGCAACCCTAGGATAGAAAGTCCTGGAGGGAGAGCATTTGGGGTAGTGGGGTGGGATTTCCAGATTGTACTCTTACATCTTAAGTAACTATTTCGTATGACACTTCCTATTACTTTATCATTTAAGATGACTCCCTACCTTTTACTTTCTTCTATGCTTTGCTCCCAGTCTTGTAACGCTAAATGAAGCCTCATCTTGGTGACGAGGGCTGGTGTAAAGAAAGGAAAAGTAACCACTAGCTGGCTAATTATTTCCAGGGCACCCGGATAATTTTGTTGCACAATGAAGTATGTTGCCTATGAAGAAAGAGGGGAGAGGGAAGAAGGAAGGGAAGCAAGATGAATATGGCGTTTGCAACAGATGCCTATATGGTGACATCCTGATAAGAGGCAATTGCCTGTCCCGTCTGCATCTGTGGAGACCATCAACACAAGAACACAAGAAGAGCCCTGCGATCAGACCAGTGGTCCATCGAGTCCAGCACCCTGTTTCTCACAGTGGCCAACCACAGAGTTTTGAAGACAGCAAAACAAGATTGTCCTTCATAGTGCTTTGCCTCTGCCCAGGATTAGCAAATTAACAGGGTACATTCTACAAAAGAAGAAGAGGAGGAGGAGGAGGAGATTGGATTTATACCTCGTCCTTCACTACCCAAGGGAGTCTCAGAGCGGCTTACAAACTCCTTTCCCTTCCCCTCCCCACAACAGACACCCGGTGAGGTAGGTGGGGCTGAGAGAGCTCTGAGAGAACTGCCCTCAAAGAAGAAGAGATTGGATTTCTATCCCGCCCTTCACTACCCAAAGGTGTCTCAGAGCGGCTTACAAACTCCTTTCCCTTCCCCTCCCCACAACAGACACCCTGTGAGGCAGGTGGGGCCGAGAGAGCTCTGAGAGAACTGCCCTCGAAGAAGAAGAAGAAGAGATTGGATTTATACCCCGCCCTTCACTACCCAAAGGTGTCTCAGAGCGGCTTAAAAATCCTTTCCCTTCCCCTCCCCACAACAGACACCCTGTGAGGCAGGTGGGGCTGAGAGAACTCTGACAGAAACTGCTCTTTTTCAAGTACAGCTCTTATCAGAACTACGGCTTGCCCAAGGTAATCCAGCCAGGTGCAAGTGGAGGAGTGGGGAATCAAACCCGGTTCTCCCAGATTAGAGTCTGCGCACTTAACTACTACACCAAACTGGTGTAGTGACCTTCAGCCTGGCCACTGGCCAATTTGTAGTTGGGTGATGTTACCTGATATTCCGCACGTAGGCATTTTGGGGTTTCTTCCTGCCTCCTTTGTTCTAGAATCCATCTTGGAGTAAACAGTAACTAGAAAGACGTAGCTAGTTACACTGTTTTATTGTTTTATCCTATCATGTAAGAGTCCCTAATTACTTAGCAAACTTTCTTTTAGCTAATTTATATGTGTGTGCTGCATCATTACTTTTAACTCGGCTACATTTATCCAACAGTCTCCCATCCAAATGCTAACCAGGGCTGACCCTGCTTAGCTTCCAGATTCTGACAAAATCAGGCTAGCCTGGGCCATCCAGGTTAGTTCACCATGTTTCTAGAACAAATGAACACAGCACCACACCTTTCTAAGGAAACCAAAAGGAAAGTTATCCGTCTACCTTTCCCATCATCCCAAATATATCCGCATTGTCTTGAATCCCTTCGTCCAAATATTTGATAGACTTCTTAACTGAGTACTGCTTGTCAGATGTCACATAGATCCAACCTTTCAAAATCAGGCCCTGCAATGATTAAAAACAAAAACAAAACCCACATGGGCAACATCAAGAAATTCTGTATGGATAGCACCAGTGCATGATGCCATCTTAGCTTCACATCTCACACACAGTTCCTTTGTTGCAAATATATAAAAGTTAAATGCAATTAGAACTTTAGGACTCTTGTCATTTAACATATTTTAATAAAATCAGGTCAGAAAAACGATCATTTCCCAGTAGGGTTGACAAGTCCCATCCCCCCAGCCCCCGGTGGGGGATGTGGGGGGTTAAGAGTTGCCAGATCCAGGTTGGGAAACTCCTGGTGATTTGGGGGTGGAGCCTGGGGAGGACGGGGACCTCAGTGGGGGACAATGTCATAGAGTCCACCCTCCAAAGCATCCGTTTTCTCCAGGGGAAGTGATTTCTGTAGTCTGGAGATGAGCTGTAATTCCGGGGGATCCCCAGGCCCCACCTGGAGGCTGGTATCCCTATATCCCAGCCATATATTCTAAGGGGATTTTCTTTTGGCTAACCTTCCACCATAAGTGGAAGTGAGGGAAGGGAGTCCAATGTGAATGTTTTCAACATGCACAGTCCTCAAACAAAGAAATTTCAAGGTGTAAAGTGCCATCAGGCCACAGATGACTTACGGAGACCTCAGCAAGGGGCTTTCAAGGCAAGTGAGAAGTACTTGCCATGGCTTTCCTCTGCAGAGCCTTCTTTGGTGGTCTCCAATGTTCCCTCTAAGTTGTAGAGTCTTGTGAGCAAAAATTCTACTTTGTGAGCTCCTGGCATAAAAGTTGTGAGTGAGTCATTTGGCTACTGCATAAATTAGTTTGCTCTGGAGCCATCCTCCCTGAGCGAAGACAAGAATCTGTGAGCCCGTGGCTAAAAAACTATGAGCTAGCTCACACTAACTCAGCTTAGAGGGAACACTGGTGGTCTCCCATCCAAGACTTACGATGACCCCAGCAAGGGGCTTCCAAGGCAGGTGAGAAGCAGAGGTGGTTGGTAGGGTGGGGTAGGGCGGGGTATAAATTTAATAAATAAATATTAATAATAATTGCCTTCCTCTGCAGAGTCTTCCTTGGTGGTCTCCCTCCCAAGACTTATGGCAACACCAGCAAGGCGCTTTCAAAGCAGC